TATAATGTGAAAGTCAAAATAATTTTTCTACTTTTTTTCAGTTCAGTTCCAACAGAACAGCTGAATATTTAGAATTTTTGTTTAAAAAAAAAGAAAGAAAGAAAGAAAAGAGTCAACTAAACTGAACCAAAAACGACCTCAGTCAGATTCTTTGGCCTTTTAACATCTTTATTGATGTTGATCAACCACAATGGTCAAATTAGACACTAAATGAGATACATAAGCATGTCTTTTGAACATTTCTGCATTTTGTGCAATTGCATAAATGTTTTACAAAAGCAAAGAATATTTGAGTGCCATAGATAAGTGCAATGATAGAGTGAATACACAGGATAATCACTGAACGTAATGTTTTATATTAGGAGACCACGGACTATGCAAGGCCCATCGTGTTTGCTGTACAAGTGGGACTTCAAGATCCAGACAACGAACCAGTTCTAGATGAAAGCTGGCCGACAGTTGTGAGGACTGAGGTGAGAGAATCTGTGGCAGCTCATCCTGCCTTTAAATATACTTTTAGAAATTGTTTTGTGATTGTATAAAAGTACAAAAGGAAAGGATTAGTCGCTTTTCAACTTGCAAAAATCTTGTTTTTCTGGAAAGCTGCCCTTCTGGAACGGCTGCGATGAGGACGACCGCTGCATACCCGACCTGGCACTGCAGAGTATGACCGACCTGATGACTCGAAAGTAGGTACACACATCTTCATCACGACACACACAGGAATACACAGAAGTACTGTATTTACACACCTACACCAAGCAAAATAAACCCAGTCCTTTGCTGCTCTTTTATTTCTGATTTCTTTCTGCTTCGTCTTCCTTCCTCGCTGCCTCCCAGTCAGTTCTGTGCACATCCTGTACAGTCTCGTGGTGCTTTCTGTCGTCATCAAAGTGAAGGCGGGGCGGAGGCATCCCAGCGGGTTCTGGAGGGAAACAGGAGGAGGATGGTGGTGGACGTCCGACTGGAGAACAAAGGAGAAAATGCCTACAATGCTCGCCTCAATATCACCTACACGCCCAACCTACGCTTCTCGAGCCTCATAGTCAAGGTCAGTCATCATCACCCTGAGCTAATTCATGTGGTTTGTCTGAAAACATCAAAGATATTCTAATTTAAATTTAACCAGCAGATGAGAAGAGATAAATACAACATTTATGTTACCAGTCCTGAAATAGAAATACAATTTTTGATTCAGGACAACTCTGACATCCAAATCGAGTGTTACATGGAGGACAAACTGAGGAATGAGAAGATCTGCAACGTCAGTGCACCATTCATGAGAGCCAAAACACAGGTGAGATAACCACTCTGCAGTACTCGGAGACTGTAATGTATCAGTATAAAAAATATACCCAACCACTTACATGTTTTACATGGCCAAACATTTACATTACACTAAGGAAGTGTGTAATTTTACTACACTTTTCAGCTTTTTCCCTTTTTTTTGAATTACACAAAAAAACAAATTATGAAAATAGACTGCCCATTTACATATCTAAGATTGATTGACATTAAAACCTGTAACTGTGAAAAAACACAAAATTCAAATTGTTAGAAAATGACAAAAAAAACATTTTGAACAAAAAAGCCTTGTGCAAATTTTCTTTAATGTTAATTGAAGATGCCTTTAATCAAGTGTAATACTGTGAACATGTATATATTTTCTATTAGATGCAATCAGCAACAGCTAAAAGAAAGATAAGTATTGGTTTTGTTACTTTAAATCAATTTGTGTCTTAAATGAGAAAGAGCCTGTATAATTACAGAACATTTATTATATACTATTGGTTATTTCTTTGTTTTTACACAGAAATATCCTTTATTAAACATTACAAACCAAAAGCATACACAGGATCTCGTGTGAAATTACTAGAAAATATGTGATGGTTATGGAAAATTTCCTTATTTTTATGAGCTGATCATTTTTTGAAAATGTATAAGTTTTTTGTTTCAGTGTTTGACTGCAGGGGTTGTAACTTTGTATGTTATGTGCTATTGCTAATAATTAACAAAAAACATATCCTGACTTAATTAGATCTAAGTTTTGCTGCTGTTATTATGTGTAAATACAACCAAAACCAAAACAGATCACCAGTTTCTAAGGATGTGGATTCATTCTGGAGCATTTTCTTCCATTCTATCTCCCATTTTGTTGCAGGTGGTTTATATTTGACATTTTCAAAATTGCTGTATGGTTTTAGATGAGAGTTATTATTTATATATTTGTCTGACTTACAGCAGACGTAAAAGCTGATCTTTTCAGCCATGGAAAATGTTAGTCATAATGCAGTTTCCATTCTAATTCCTAAACAAGATGCAAATCCGATCAAAAACAGAAATGTGGAGGCATGTCTGCACCACTGTCTGAGCAATCTCAGAGTCTGCATTGTGCTGCTTTTCAAGGGCAGCAAAAACATTGGCATTGACCATATAAGACCACAGGGGCTCAAAACATGTGCTTCAGGCTTTAAATGACCATGACAGACCACAGTGGTTAATGAAAGAACCACAAACCAACCAGGAGATCCCAGTTTAGTTCTGGTTGACGTTTTGACACGAAGCTTCCCGTCTGTAACTACCTTTATAACTATGCTGTGATGAATGTGAATATGAAGCAACGGTAATGTAAATGACAAGTATTTTCTTAACGCTTAAAAAAGTTTAAAAGCTCATCATAACAAAACAACACATTCAAGATGAATATCTCAATCCCTGTCTGAATTTATAACCTCCAGGGTTTCAGCTGTGACTGAACATTATTTATAGTTCTATGAGTACATGGCTCTCTCCAAGCACATTATGGTGTTGAAACATAATGCTTTGTGTAGATTCCCAGACCCGTCACAAGCTCGTAAATCTGAAGACTTTAAAGTTCAAGTTTCTGTATAGTCCAAACAAAACGGGACTACGTTCATGAAAGTAGAGGAAGTTGGTTTAGTTTGTCACTGAAATCAAAAAGGCTGCACATTCACGTCGCGCTAATATATATTTTCACAAAGTTAATTTATAAATGCTTAACATTTCCTAGGAAAAAACAGCACAGAAGTCGTCTAGCTAATTGCCACCCACCAAATCCATCCACAGTTCATTTTAAAAGCTGAGCACATCAGGCATCCTCGGCATCAAGCAACAGTGTTGGGATCCAGAAAGAGTTTCCAGATTTTAGAGACCCTTGGTGCCACATTTTCTCCAGTTTGATGCAGCTCAATGCCTCCTTGATCCCGTCTCTAAATTTAGGGGGTGAAATATGCTTCCATGTCAAAATAATAAAATGCCCAGCCAGCAAAATAGTGGAAACTTTTTGCAATGTGCCAGAGAGAAAACAAGAAATTCTAACGGGTATTTAAATCTCTCATAACGGGGATATGTCAACTTCTGTGTTTCTTCAGCGGATAAAACTGCACGCTTTCACTTGTTATGGCGTGATCAAAACTCTTAAGGTCCTTGCATGAGGACACCTTTGAGGTAATATTTTATGTGTCAAGAGTGAGTGAACCTCCGCAGTGTGAGACAGAGGACACGCTGAGTTTGGTGTTGCTGAAAACTTACATTATGAGACATTTGTGAGCCCTGTTGTCACTCACACATGCTGAAGCTGTAACTTTCAATGTTTTGAAAGCATTTTTTTTAAAGTAAATATCTTTAATTTTCAAACAAAGGTCAGTCAATCAGTACCTTCTCCTTTACTACACTATAAAAAGCATCTCATTTAGCTGTTATTGCATTTTTAAGAAGATGCATCCTAGCAACAGACTAAACAGAACAACCTTCCTCCTCTCTCTGCTTGATCCTGATGCTTCAGGTGAGGCTGAGTGAAAGACTCTGACGTGTATGTTTTCTCATCTGTTACTGATTCCCACATTCAATTCGGCTGTTTCCAAGCCTTTCCACTGTCTTGTAATGTCAACAATATTTATGAGACTCTGCACTTTCCAGTGTATTTTACAGCAAGGCACTACGTTTTATTTTTAAGAGGGTGATGTTTGAAAGAAGCTTTGATAGGGATGACACAGATTGTATATCACACGATGCAATTAAAAGCCATGAGCTGTGTTTTCCATTGATGTCACAACAATGGTCGTTTTGCAATGCTACTGATAAATAGTGTTCGAATGAGAAGAGAAAGGTGACTGAAAGAGCTCACAAAATGTCCTAACCACATTTTGTCATTATCGCAAACAATGGTTCTCTCCCAGGCAACAGAAATATCACCACATTTCTCTGTAATGCCCCCCCCCCCTCAAACATCTGAACCAGGAGGACCTGGTCACCCTTTAAAAAACTCACTGAGTGATTCATACCCACTCATTCAGCCTGAACAGCATCCAGAGCCACAAGGCTGATCTGCTCTGGTCGAGGGCCTTTTAAAAATGTGGCAAAGAGTTAAACAAGACTGATTGTACACCGGGGCCGCTGCCAAACCAGCACAAACCACTGTTTAGCTGAAGGAAAGTAGGAACTTTTAGTAGCAAACCTTTTAAAATAGCCCGTTATCACTCTTGTTTCTGCGTTCGACCTGTGTAAAACAAGCATGTACTGCAAACTTTACTACCGCTGCAGCAAAGTGACGTGGAAATGTCGTGTCCGCTCTCCGTATTGGCGATGACATATGTGTTTTAGGGGTTTTGTGCAGACAAGAGAGACTTCTAATTATTGCCATTAGTTGTTTGAGGACTGACAATGAATGTGGTTGCGGGAGGCGGATAGACTGCATCAGCCGAGACGAGGAAGACGAGCGTCATGCGCTGTCTGAATGTTCAGCTATGCTGCTGCACGAACATCCTGTAGCCACGGACAATTGCATGCATGTGTGTGTTTCTGCTACGTTCCTCTACAGCAACATCAGTCAATTATTTTGAAAACAGGCTGCAGTAAAGATCCTTTTCTAGGATACTCATAACAAACGAGCACAGGGGTCTATTTCCACAACTGGGACACAATTCTCTGCAAAGAGGTCATTATTTTTGTGCTTTATCTGTGGTTTGTCAAGAATCAGTCCTTTTCTAAGGAAAAAGGGAAGCTACAGTAAACCTCGTTATGCATTCCTCTCTGGTCAGACGGGATCCGTCAGGATTTCATTACGGCATGGAGGACTGTAAACAATGCTCTGCTCGGCTCTGCTCTTCTTGATGTGCTTTCTGCTGCCAATCAAACCTCACTCTCCAGACTTGGGCTCTCCCTCTGTTTTTGTTTAGGATTCCTCTGTCGCTTTCCATTTTTTTAAACAATGTTTCTGACTGTCTCTTTTCTGCTTGTATTTTTCCCCTGAATTCGACTCTCGCTGGTAGTTGTTTGTGTGTGTGAGTGTTGTTGGCCTTGTCCTCAGCGAAGGGGAAATTCCCTGGCTCTCTTTAAGTAGTACCAACTGTGCAACCAGCTGCCTCGGGGTCAGAGCCTGGGAATTACAGCAGGTTATTGCAGACTTTACTCCTTAATCCATAATGCAGGGCCTTTACTGCTGCACAGAGTATATACAGTAGCATATGGAGTCAAAAGACATTCCTGACCTGTGCTTGTAGTGTTTCTGTGCTAAAAATATAATGATAGACATTAAAGGAACACAAACTTCATGCCATGCCTGCACATATCCATATGTAGATTCATCACCACTTCTAAATTGTCTTCATTATGTCTTTATTTTATATTTTGCTTTTGTATTTCTCGTCTTGCTTCTTCAGTGCCTCACCTGTATCTAGCTGCTGTTTGTAAATTTCCCCAGTGTGGGATCTATAAGGTTTATCTTATCTTTGTCATGTCTTATCTTTTTTTCATGCGTAGGTTTTGTTTCGTCTGGAGTTCGAGTTCAGTCGTACTGTCTTCCTGGAACACCTCAGGGTTATCCTTGAAGCCATCAGGTGTGATCATCAATTTAAACTCATATCTGTATATTACAATTTTCATTCTTTTTAATTTTTTTAAAACAACAATCACAGAGCTCAAGATAAGGATAAATATTTCATCCGGCGTGTCCCGCCTTAACATCATTGCTCACATTCTTTTAATATTTTCGTTCTCTCTACAGCGATGGCGAGGAAATGAGCACAGCTGATAATTTCAACGATATCTATTACTCCCTGAAATACGAGGCAGACCTCCTCTTCACAAGGTTTGTCAAGTTCTCCGTTTCCTATCCAACAGTGCATGTTGCTGAAGCTCTCGAGGCCAGTTTTGGAAGCAGCGAACTTGGAAGTGCAATTAACTGGAGCAGTGTGAAGTGATTTGATCTCAACTGGAAAATACTGAGTATCATCGAGGGGAAAATAAGTTGCAGATACTGTAGCTGGAATGGAGACTTTGTGAACGTGTATTAGACTTCATAAAATGTGCTAATTGTTTATTTGCTTTGAAAGGGATTCAAATCCAACTCGGTATGACATCAAATCAGAGCTGTCGCTGGAGGAGCCCGGCGTCTTCGGTCCCCCTTTCAACTTCACTTTCCAGGTATGACGCAATTGTTTCATCACTCATGAGTTCAGTTTTGCTGTACAGGGAAACGCTGCTTGGAAATAATTAACCTCTGCTTGTCTCTCAGATCCAGAACCTTGGATACTTCCCAGTAAGGGATCTGCAGCTGAACATCGAGATCCCAGAAATGACAAAAAATGGGAACCAGCTCCTGCAGATATCCGACTTCCACATCGACCAGGTGAGTGTGGAACCTCTAAGTTGATCTCAGTGGATTCAGATCAGAATATGTAACGTTCTTCTTTGTGGGGAACCTTCTTCTCACAAAGGAACTAACATCTGGTTACTCCTGCAATTATTTTAAAAGCATTTGTTATTCGTGAAATTCTTAATCCAGACATTGTAGGACATTGGGGTCAGAGCCATGACACAATGCCCCTGGAGTCCATACTGTAAATAATGCCTGACTTAAGGCTTCATTGAATCCCCAACTTTCCCCTGATTTTCCAGGTTCCAAATTCTGAACTACTTCTTTGTCTTTTTCAGTGTCTCCCGCTATTGTCCAAGTAAATGTTCAGATCCTCATACTCTTGCATCTGACTTGTTTAGAACATAACAAAGAAGAAAGATTCACACAGTGACCGTTTAATTAAACCAAAAATAAGCAGAAAATAAACCTATAACCTAAAACTACATGTGGCTTAAAAAATTATACACTCAACACAATAAAAAAAAACAATGGCACCAAGTTGGGTGCCATATGGTATCAGCCTTCAGTGAAAGTGAGACATCCTGAGAGGAAACCAGCTTATATGGACTCCCAATTAGGTGAAGCCAACCCGTCAGTGAAGTAGGAAGAAACAAGGACATGAGGAGAGGAAGCAGAAGAAAGTAGGCCAAAACTACCAATACTGTCATGCAGCCCAAAGTCATCACAACATATATGCTCATCATCGTATTGATCGCAATGCTCGATCTGTACTGTACCTGTTATGTTTGGCTTCTGCAGTGCAATTTTGATTCTCTTAATAATCTCAGAGACAATCTAAATAGAGCCTTGTTTAGAATGCTTTACTCTGTTGCTGCCCTTATAACCAGGAGAGGCACTCTGATGACATCAGCACCCTGGTTTTCAGACACCGTGCACTCAAGCAGACAAAACAAAAATCTTGGGCCTGAGTTGAATGTTTTTGAAAGTATAAATGTGCACTCTCAACTGCTTGGACAGCTTATTTAAGCAGCATCAATAAAAAATAATCCATGACTTCTGTTTGATGCTGCTGCTAAACTGACACACGACGCCCCTGCCAATAGCTCGTCATTCAGTGCTGATGATTATCTGAATTGAATTTTCGAACAAATAAGATTGACTCAATTAGAGATAAAATCACTGTTCCACACTCGTCTCAGAAGGATGGCCATAAACTCTCCGGTGCTTGGATAGATGCCGCCACTGTGACTCAGACCAACTGCACTCTTTCCCAGTTTGAAAATAATTTCCCCTGAGTGCTTTAACTGGCCTGGTAGCCGCTTCCAAATCTACAACCTGCATATTCAAACTTTTACTGTCTAATTTTTTGAAGGACCTGTTTCCCGTTTTCAGTATTTCTATTCTTGGAATTATCAGTAACTCGCTTTCCATGGGCTCTGGTCCCTCAGCTTTTAAAACTGCCATTATTAAACTGCTGCTTGCAAAAACCTAATGTTGATCCACGTATTCTGAGCATAGTCTAGTTTCCATTTTTTTATAAAGTCTGTCACTGATCAACCTGCTGCCTACCTGTCAAACAGCATCATTTTTGATAAATTTCAATGTGTCATTCTACGGAAACTGCCATGACAAAGTAGTCCTTGATCTTCTAATCACTGTTGATTCTCCTTTGATATCGTTGTTGCAACTTCATGACTTGAGTGCAGCTTTCTATGCTGATGATATCCTGCTATTTGTGCCAGAAAGTCAAATGGACTCTGCCATCTCCTAAATTTAGAGGCCTGTGTATCAGAATTTAGAAAAAATTGATGAGTATGAGCCTTGTGTTGGTCAACGCTGATTACACAGACTTTAGTTCTTAGCTTCACCAAGTGTAAGCCTTGTGTGAAAATGTAAGTGGTAACATCAGTGTATTATATCTAAAATCTTGTTGTTTTTTTTGTTTGTTTTTTTGTTTTTTATTCTTACCTGACATTCCAGTCTCATATCTAAGCCATAGTGAAGACAGCATTTTCTCATCTCAGTAACATTGCTAAAATCCAATCCGTTCTATCACTGTGTGGTACTGAACCTGTAATCCAGGCATTTGTAGCTCCCAGACTTGGTTGTTGTAAGACCCTGATCTCTGGCCTTTTCTTTCCAATTCTGGTCTGTGTTTACTGGCTGCCAATGCAACCTAGAGTTGATTCCTTCTTTTAATTAATTAAGCCTTGCACGGACTTGCATTATCTCACTAATCTGAGCTAATTATACCATATAAACTGGCACACTCTGTTCGGTCTCTCAACGATGGTCTCCCGGTCACTCCTTCAGCTAAAAAATTTGCTTCAGATCACCTGCCTTTTATCTCTGGAATTGGCTGCCATTACATGTTTAAAAAAGCAAGTTTTGCTTTAAATCGTCAAATCAAGACTGAAAATCTGCCTTTTTTCACTTTACTACAGCTCATTCTAGAACTCAAACTTAGTTGGGTCCATCAGCTTTTTTAAAACATCCATATGACACTGATGTTTTTAATGTGTTTATATTTACGTGTGTGTATGTTTTGTTCCATGTGTCTTTATTTGGGATCATGCTGCACTGTGATTCCACTCTTTGGATAGAATTGATGAATTGATTGATGGACCTGCTGATCATGAACTCAGGACCTTAACTGGAGAGCCACCAGGATGAACAGGACATGCTAATGGTTGCGATTAACGATGGAGCAGATAGTGCACTGTTTAATCCATTCCTTACACTTTTGGTTGCTTGGTTTTGGTTTTGGAGAGGGTAAAAAAACAGCCTCCAAACTCTTCATTCGCAGAGGTTTGCCCTTTGCTGCAAACTGACACTGCCTCAAATATGTGGAAAAATCCAAAGCTTGACAGGCCCGCAGTGCCCAGCTAAGGTTTCTAAGCTTTGATTGGAGAATTGCTGTTGAAAGGAGGGTTTTAGTTGGAGTGCTGAGACTCCTCTCACCACTTGTGTTCCTGGTAGTTTCTGTTTTTATGTCAGTTATCTGTCAGTTATTACTTGCAGCCACAGTTGCTGTCGTTAAGCTGATGTACATAACCTTGCTTGTGTATCTTGTCCGTTTTGATGTTATTATATTAAACTGTATATACTAAGCTAGATCAAAGATTGAATTAACTCAGAACGCAGTGTTGTTTAAAAAGTTAATCATTTTTGGAAATACTTTTAGAAATGTACTGATTTGTTAATAAATCGGCCAGACTTTATGCTAAACTAGACTAATATATCCTCACTTCAGCTACAGACTGCACTTCATATACAAACTTGAGGTTTGCATTGATCTCCTCACAGTTTCCGTGTTAAAGCATTACTATAAATACAGAGCAGAAATAAGTCTTGTTTGCAGTCTTACGTAGATAAACCTCAGTCTTTCACCCTTTTGCTGCAGAATTTTTAGTTTTTTAACTTTTTTAAATGAGTCAGGTTTACAGATGATGCTGATGGACCTTTTTTTTTTTTTTTTAAACTTTGGACAAAGTCAGGCTGCCAGACTTTATACTAAACTAGACTAATTAAATCCTGACTTTAGCTACAGACTGTACTTCATACCTCACTAAAGATTTGCATTTGTCTGAAGTATTACTGCAACTACAGAGCAAATATATTTCTTGTTTGTAATTTGATGTTTAACTCTTTCTGTGCAGATATCAAATTGTGGCACTAATCGATATTTTTACTCCCATGTCCCACCTCAGAGAGACGGTACTCGCTGTTTACCGCCCCAACATGTGGCACAGAGCAGATCATCACCTGAAGACCTTTCACGCTTCTCCCGCTTGGTAAAGCGCAAACTGACAAGATTCCGTCCTGAGTTTTATTTTTCCACTTTGTCATGTATTCTAACTGGTTCGCTTCTGTTTCTTCACACAGAACCGATCCAACACGCTAACGCTGCCAATCCAGTGCACAGTCAATGTGGCTTCAAACAGAGAAATTGCAGTTGGAATCGCAGGAGCACTGAGGATAGATACCTTACACGCAGTGAGTATAAAACTGAAAACACACGTGCATAAAATTGCATGCAGTCCCTCCATTCATCATGCTGTTATTCTGCTTTGACTTTGTAGTGATTTCAGCTGTGTGATGTCTTTGAGAAAACTGGCTGCATGTGTTGATTTTCTCTCCAGCTGAAGTTTAAAATCCTGGAACTGGTAACCAGCGCATCAGTGGAGCTGCCCTCCTCCAGCCCCATGTTTTTACATGAAGAGAGGCCTGTCAGACATGTGAGTCAACAACAACTGGTGCTGTAAACTGCATCTGTCCCGAGTTTGACCTGACTGAGTTCATAAAACACATCGTGCTCTGATCAGATTTAGCCTCACTCTGGTTTTGATCCTCACCATATGCGGTTACAGTGGTCTGTTCTTAAGACCGGCCTTTAAAACTTGTTTGAATGAACTGTAAGTAATCAAATAGTATCACACATGTGATGTCGCAATTCATGTAAAACTAAGCAAGAACATACTTCTCAGCAGTGTCCTCTTTCTGTAAAGCCTCAGTGGTTCCTGCATGCCAGTGCAGAACTGCAGCAGTGTAGAATCACACTGTTAAAGGTTGGTACTGGAGCTGTGTGGTGCTTAGGGACCGAAAGGACCAGCGGCACAACATGTAGCAGTCTGGACTCAAACACTAATCTCTGCTGCCATCTATTGGCCACGACAAACAGCCCTACAGTGTCTCTACATTACGCTTTCCTAAGCAAATACATACATGTTTCATTAAACTCTGAAATATATTGTTACAATAAAGACAAACCTGCTTGATTGGTGCTGTTATAATTAAGATTCAATTTAAATATGTTTGTTATAAAAGAACAGTTTCTTTAAAGTTTTCACTCCTGCTTAATAACTGAGGAAGAGTCATTGTTTTTTTTCTACATGTATCACTTAAATATGCAAGTTATAATCTTTGTAATCATCCCTTGTTAGGTCTGTGAAGGTTTATTTTTAACTGCAGGAGCAAATTTTTTTCTAAAACACTCTAATTATCTTCAACCCAGTGCATTATCGCTGCCTGTGAACATCACAGCTGCTTCATCTTTAGTGTTTGCAGCCATTATAAGTAATCATACGTACATAATAGCATACATTATACATACATTATAATTACAAGTACAAGATGAACAAAAAAACCCCTCTGTTAAAACCCTACACAGTAGCTGGCACTGAATCCAGTCTGTGTCTCAAATGGAAGGAATAAAAATCTATAATTTCATGTCATTGCATCTTGTCTGACAGATAATATTGGAGATCAGGAAGGAGGGAGATTACAGAATCCCTACTTGGATTATCGTCGGCAGCACGCTGGGAGGACTCTTATTGTTAGCCCTGCTCAGTCTCGCTCTGTGGAAGGTAAGTTATTGTGTCAGGCACAGTCTGGCTGCAAATAACGATTATTTTTATTGTCAGTTAACCTGTGCATTATTTTCTCAATTAATCGCTTAGTTGTTTCGTCAATAAAATATCAAAAAATGGACAGAAATATAGTTCAGTGTTTCCTAAAGCTCAAGACAATGTCCTCAAATGTCTTGTTTTGTCCACAACCCAAAGACATTAAGTTTGCTGTCAGAAACCAGAAAATATTCACATTTAAGCAGCTGGAAAAAGAGAATTTTTTGTTTTTAAATAAAAATGACTTACACTGACTGTTGTTGAATTATGTTCCCAGTGAAGGGCCTGTGTTTTTAATATAGTAAATCTAAACTGTTATAAGAGGAAATATGCCACTTGTCAACTCCAGAAATAATTTAATGATCAAGAGGTGAAGCAATTTGGCATCAGATGACATTTCAGTGATGTCACATACTCCCTTTTGTCGTAAACTGTACATTTTAAAAGTGTCTCCTCTGTGTCTCCTACAGCGAGATGTCAAAGTGTTGTCCAAAAACAGCCTATGAATAAGACAAGGATCGTACAATCAGTGATTTTAGCTCTGTTAATTGAGCAGATCAGCTGTTACATTACTGCTAATTTAAACCTGACTCAAGTGTGTTTAATCAAAACGCTGAACCCCATAAGGCTCCTGGTGTTTGTTTTAAACTTTGCACTAAAGCATGTTACTCATAAATATAATGTAAAAAAGAAAAAGGGCTGACAAAAGCTGATGAGTTGCCATGAAATTTAGTGTAGATCTTTGTAGATGTCGTTGTGCTCAGAGGGTGAATTCTAATGACTTTGTCCAGTGACTCCGCTGCTATCTTGATGTTCCGTCAGCCTCGGTCGCTTAATTAATGCTAAATAGCAAATGCTAGCTTGCTGTCTCGAGATGAAGAAGTCTGACCCTGGTATATGTCAGCATGTTAGCATTTAGCTGACAGCGCTGTACAGTGTAACCTCACAGAGCTGCAAACATGGCTGCAGACTCCTGCTATTGTTAGTTGTAGTTTCATTCCATGTGTGAAAATTGCTCAGAAATCATTCCACCTGTGTGCAGCATAGTCACTAAATGTATTTCCACCATGTTGGAGTCTGAAGCTGTAGCGTCACTTCTTGTCTAATCTCTTTCACCGCCCAGCTCGGTTTCTTCCGGAGGCAGAAGCGGAGAGACGAGGACGAGCGGGAGGCCAACGGAAAAGTGGCCGAGGAGCGGTAACGCAGGCTGAGGGCCCCCAGCAGACGCCTTTTCCACAGGGGACCCGACACTCAGGGACCAACCCACCTCCCCCCTGCTCCCCCAAACACCACAGTGGCACCACATAGATGCTCCGCATGACCGCTGAAGCAAGGCTTAATCAGTGCACTGGACCCGCCCCACGCCACGACCCCCTGACCCCCGAGAGTCAGCACTGTCACACTCACTTAGCATTCCTGCACTGTTACGACGTCCGGGCCTTCTCTGTCCATGTATCCCACTGCCCTCGATGTCGTCCCTTCACAGATCTCGGAGCTCTCGTTGTCTTGGCTTCAGGCTGGATCTCTGGTGCTTTCTCTGGCTGTTTGTAAAGAAGAATAGAGCGAGCTTCGATCGACCTGTTTTTAAGAATTTCAGGCCACTATTTGCATTTGAGGCAAATGTTCGCCAATCACTCTTTTGTCTCTTCCTGATGTGTATTTATTTAACTCTTATGGTAAATTTTGTAATACGTGAAAAACCTCAAGGGTGACTTGCACACCCGAAAGCTACCGCAAGTGTAAAGTTATTATACTGTATGTTGAATTCGATGTTGAAAAGATTTTTTATCTGCAACATGTTCAGTCGACTTGCATAATAATTTATGAAGAAACAAAACTGAACTAAAGTCACAAGAGTACACAGAGGATTCTCGATGTCTTGCTGTTAAAGACTGCAGAGAAGAATCTTCTAAATATGCATCCACTCCTTTTAATATTTACATCCTGGAAAACACACAGGGTGGCCTTTAAACATTTGATGCACTTTTTACTTTGTACAAAATTAACTTGAATTTTGTAAATAGTCAAGTACTTTTTTTTATACCCTTTTCAATATTATAATGGTTTTCACACAGTATTTTTCCACGCGGTTTGTGCCGTTAGTTTGTAACTTAAGCAACAAAGCAAATTAAACAAGTCGGCTTTGTGTTACTGTTAGAACATGAGACGGTTGCATGCCTTTCAACGTGCACTGCATCAGAGCAAAGGGTGTGCATAAAATACTGCTGGCAAATTTTCAAGGTTTGAAGTAACTTTAAATGGAACTGTAACTAAATGATGATCAGATGCCAAGAACGTGAGTCCAGTGAATGCAGATTGCTCCTGGTGTTACCAAAGAATGTCAGTTTGTCCTATTTTGATGATGAAGAGCTGTAATATGCCTACAAATAAAACAATGTATATGTCTATCTGTCGTGGTGTTTGCATTTGTTTGTGGGTAATTTTGAAAGCGTCCCTTTTCTTTTATGTCTGCTGTCATTTTACTTCCTCTCTTTGTGTGTTTTCTCTCCTTTTTGATTGTCTGCTCCACCGTCATTAGCTTCACCTTGACGTGTTTTCCCGCCTTTTTTAATGGCTGCTCCAGTTTCACCTTTGTGTCTTTTCCCTCTTTTCTTTCTTTTTGATTGTCTCCTCCACCATCATTAGCTTTACCTTTGTGTTTTCCCGCCTTTTTTAATGGCTGCTCCACCCTCATTAGTTTCACCTTTGTGTGTTTTCCCGCCTTTTTTAATGGCTGCTCCAGTTTCACCTTTCTGTGTTTTTCCTCTTCTTTCTTTTTTAATGGCGTCTCCACCTTCATTACTTTAACTTGTGTCTTGTTTCCTAATTAGTTCTCTGTGCTTGCCGTCTCTGTGTCCTTCGTCCATCCAGATTCCTGAGTATTTTTGATTCAGTTTGCCTTGGATACTTTTTTTTCATCTTTTCATGGACTTTCCCTGTTTTTTCTTGACCTTTCAACCATCTGATGTGATGGTTTTTGTCATCTACCTCAGCAGTAAGTTTGATCAATGTATCTTTTGTTCATTCTACCTACTTATCTGCATTTAGGTCCTCTCCTGACACTATTCGTAACACTATGAACGTTCTAATGAATATTCGGAATGTTCTGACAGCAAAATGGAGGCCTGAAAGAGAGCGTTGTTTACCTTCTAGGTTTTGAAACATGATTTGTTTGCATGTTAATTTGAGTCAAACATCACATTTTAAACATTCACATTAGTGTGCTACACCTTCTCATTTGTCAGCTAACAGCTAGTTTAGCGTAATTGTGCAGCCAGCAGCTAATGAGCTTTTCATAGTCTGGAAACAGTGGCACAGCTAACCTGCTTTTGTGAAAAGGTAACAAAATCTGCCTGTTGGCACTTCTAAAGCTCTCTAATTAGGTCAATATATCCTAATTTGTCTTTTCAGTGTAACAACCTTCATTGTACAAATGACAAATCACCATTTTAGGGGGGATTACTTTATTTCTTGGCTCGTAGCAGTTTTAGCTGTTGCTAATTGAACCTAAGCGGCTGCAATCTTAATATTTATTGTTTTCATTTCTGCCAGAAGGTGAAGGAGACAGAAGTATTTCCCTAAATGCTGAACTCATTGTTTAATATTCAGCCTAAACGCCATGATGCTAAAGTTAGCTTCTGATTCAGCGATTACTGGAATTGTTGAGGGAAAGTTAATTTACAGCAAAGGGTCAATGATTCTTGAGCTTTTTTCCCCCACATTTGAACGATGCAGCCATAGTGCTGTCTGAAACACACTTTTAAAAACGTGATGACCTTACTGTTTATGTGAAAATGCAAAAAAAACAAACAAAAAAAAAGGAATATTTCTGTGCTTTGTTCACATATAGACCCCA